GAAGTTCAAAAAAAAAAACCTTATTGCTATAGATCAGAACTGGCCTCTTCGAATACAAAGCACAATAGGAAAGTGCTGATGTTGGGGTTTTGAGGCAATCATTATTTCCATTTCCATTTGTATCGATTTCAATTAGCGCCAACGAATCATCTCCAACAATACCTTCTTGACCCCATGGAACATCCTGATTAAATGTCATAGTAATCTTTGCGCGATCTAGGTGAGCAGGTCAGTCGGAAATCAACAACTGACGAACACTTGCGAACACCTCTTCTCACGTGGATGATAAATTGAGCAAATTTGCATTCACTGCACAAGAATTCCATGACAGTTTCCGCTTCTCATATCGTTTCAACTAATCAACTTCTCATTCTTGCTTTTGAATGACTTCAAAGTCAAGAGAGTACTATCGAGGAAGAAATAAAATGAACACGAGAAAACTTACAACGAGAGTTTTAATCGAAACCAGAAGAACATTGCCATTCGATAGGATCAGTGCAATACAACTCGCATCTGGCACTAAACATAACGCCTTTGCATCTGCACATTGCGATGATGCAAACTCTCGGATAGGTATCACTCTCTGTTTCGAACCACTTCCACGCACATTGTACGAAATACGTAAATCACCTAAACTCAAATTTCTTCTTTACGAACAACAGATATATGGATGATGCTTTTCTTTGGGTTTTTCCAGCAAAGAAAATTCCAAAAAAAAAAGAGGCAATGTATAACATACCATATGATGTAAGAAGTACAATCAGAATGAAATGTTCTTCCGAGATGTACGTATAATCGATGATGCATTCATCAGTCTCCAATAACTCCTCACCATCATTTCGTTCCCATTTGTAAAACATAACATTTAAGCAAATTATCACTTCTGAAACAATTTACACCACTTTACAATGAAATTCCCCAAGCAATTCCCCTACCTTACAATTTAAAAAACGTTAGCTCATAATTGACGAGCAATATTAAAATTCACATAAAAGAACCATTACTCTATCTCAACTCTCTCTTCCACTACCAGAAAACAGTGGACGTCATTGGGTGGTAATGCCACCCAGTAGCTGCTACACGAGCGTTCGTTTAGATCAGCATACAGCAGACAAGCAATGAAAACAGGAATAGATAGACAGGGGGAGGGGAATAACTAATTGTAATCTATAGAAGAAACATTACGATAGGTGACTAGTTTCAATGATAAATGCCAAAAGGTGCAGCTTATAGAAGGAGAACGGTAAACTTTATCAGAAACCATTTTCAATTCGAAAACCTTGCCGACTTTTTCCAGCACATGAAACTTTCGAAAATCTACAGTTAATTCGGAATTATAAATGGTATAACCAGGATTTTTTTTCTGGAGGGAGGTGNGGGGGGGGGGGGTGAGGGGCGGCTGCAAAAAGGTCTGGTCCGTAACAACTAGCCGAATTTTGCAGTGGATTTTTGTATGTATATGATTTATTGTACGCCCTTCCCGCTTTGGCTTCGCCACTGGGTGTAGCTATAAAGAAGCATTATGGCTTAGGACATTTAAGCCTAAGTGACTGATGAGCAGACGTATGAGGATCTGCTGGAGTTGGGAAACGACAGGTTTTTCTCGGTGACTGTCGACAAAGCGTGTTTTACGTGGCGGTTGGTCTTGGTCGGTGGCTATTGAAATTCAAGATCACTGACACAGTACCAAGTAGTGTTGTGCGGGGAGAGCAAAATGAGTCGGGGACGGAGACGGGGAGAGTCCCCGAAAATGGCCGCCACTTGAGACTGGTCGGGGACGGTGAGAATCCCCGAAAATGGCCGCCACTCGAAAATGATCGGGGACGGGGACGGGACGGGAGATCGGGGACGGAGAGAGTCCCCGAAAATGGCCGCCACTCGAGACTGGTCGGGGACGGTGAGAGTCCCCGAAAATGGCCGCCGCCCGAAAATGGTCGGGGACGGGG